GAAAGAGTTGGGATCAGAAGTATTAATGGGTTCTTTGGTTGGCACTTCTGTAGATGGGAAAGCTTGAAGCTTTGGACGGCCATATTTGCCCCATCAGTTATTAATAATGTATATGGCATTAGTGAATCTATCATGCCAATTCAGTTTAGATATATTTGCATATTTCTTCATCAGTCCGTTGGCCCTTTCCACCACTTCATTGGCTTGCGAGAAATAGAGTATGTAATACCCATTGTATACCTTCTCCCTTCACCCAGTTCTGTACCACCTGTGAAGTGAAATGGATCCCATTGTCACTCTGGACACAGTCAGGTGTAGGTAGTATGCTAAACCACCACTGCAAAGATATGACAGTGTTTTCACCAGCTGCATTAACCACAGCCAATGCTATTGTCAATGTTTGACACTACTTCAATACCCACAAGTATTTATTTTTTACCTTTGGATGGCCATAATGGACCAACATAGTCCACCTGCCATGTATGCCAGAGAACTTTGTTACGGCTAATATGGGCCGGAGGTAACCGCTCTGGTGTTCCCCCTTTAATAGTAATTTACATAGAGGACAAGAAGAGATCATCTGATTTATCATAGTCAGTGTTACGGGCCACCCTTGTCCAATACTTTCCGTATACAAATCAGAGTGACCTGAATGCCCATGCTTAATGTGTGTCCATTCCAACAAACGTTCCCACTCTCCTTCTTCGTTGTTCACCAGATTAATATGAGTCAACGCATCCAAGATGCGTCATCTCTGATGCCGGAGTATTCACTTTCGAATGAGCTTTTACCCAGCCTACAGAGAGGTTCCTGGCTCTAGCGATTTCCAACAATCGTTTCCAGCCATCCTATCTCCAGATAGGAGTTCTATTTATTGTCCAACCATTAGCCTCCCGTTGTCCAATCCACTCAGTACACCCCTTGAAAACTGCACAAGAGTCTGTGCAGATTATAGGTGCTCCGTTTTCCATGGCAATTAGTACTGGCGCGGAGTTCGCCCACCTGAGCGCTCCTGTTTCCGGTTTCTTCCAGGGTTTGCCCAGGCCTTGCAATATTCATTGCAACTGACTTATATACCCACCTCGTGTTTGTTTTCTTCAACAAGGTGTCAGCAAACCATATATCAGTTTTATCCATTCCTGCAGTAAAATCCAGGGCAACTTTTATTGGAGTTGGGTTTGGAGGTGAGTGTAACGTTGTCCAGTCTGCACTGATAGGGTGTTGCCATCTAGATAATTTTACACTCCCTTCTGTTAGAGGAAGCACATGGTTGATACCGTCAATACAAGCGTACCAGTTTCTTATCGTTGCCTTTTGGGCAACACCTTCAGGTGGTGGAGTGCCTTTCAGTATGGGATTTAACAACAGAAACGGCTCTCGGATGATTAGTGGTTGATAGGTTCTAATTTTTTCCACTTCTTTTACTGCTCGAGCAAGGGACAACAGGCCCTTTTCCCACTCGCTACAGTGGGTTTCAGGCTCCTTGAAAGCAGTAGAAGAAAACAAAATGGGATGTTTAGGTTCTGTGGAATTTTTTTGGAATACGTCACAATATGAATTCTCCCAACCTTCCCATCGGGCAGACATCATGTCCTCCTTGTAAGATATCATAACCCAAAATATTTCCTGGGTGGTCAGAGATTACTGCTTTCACTGTTGATGATCTTTTTTTGCCTGGCAGCCAAAGCTGCACACAGGTTACTGGACATTTCTTTACTTCATCAGTGACTCCACTTATATTAATTATGTTTTTGCAGAGGCTTTAGCCCTAGGTTTTCTGCTTGAGCCTTATTAATTACACTAATTGCCATGTCTGTATCAATTAAGAAAGGGATCCCTAATCTACACGGACCGGTTGGAATTATGTTAGGCTCTGAATCCTTATGACACTGCAAGTGACTTACTACTCAAGTGGGATGTCCTAGAGCTTGAGTGTTCTTGTCCACTGACGGTGTAGTTGCTGCAAAAGGACTGTGGTGTTCAGTGGTCGGGGCAGTTGGAGGCATTTTAGTATTGCCTGCTTTTGCCAGGGGAGGGGTATTCTCTTCCAGCCCTTCAACCAAGTGCTTAAGCATTGTATTAGTTTGTCCATGCAACAAGTCTGCAGGCACTCTGAAAGCCCATGTGTGTCACCACAGATCATGTCTTGCCTGTTGTCCTGAGGTTTACGGATCCACCTTCTGGGTGGTGTTTTGTGCATGTGTTGCGTAGTGGTCTCAAGATGCTCGCCGGACTTTCCTTCCAGTTGTTTCCAGTGGTGGTGGGTCAGCTCACCACCATCCATCTCCCATCCACAACTAACACTTTCATGCAAGAGATCGGCCCATGTTGAGATCGGTATTTCTGGCCCCTTGGGGTTCTGTCAATTTGTTTCCCAGTCGCGGGTTATGCTCTCCCTTAAATGGTTTATGTGGATCTTCATGGCGTCTGGCAGGCCCTTTATAAGTGGTTTAAGATGGAGAGGATCTACAGGAGCCATAATGGGCACATCATATTTTCCCTGGTCATGCATTCATTGAACACACGCAGTCTTCCAGATTGCATCTGCTAGTTCTGATAACTCCTGGGTTCGTAAGATGATTGGTCCTCCCCGCTCCTGGGATCTAGGCCTCCCACCCAGTACACGACTCTTGCGGTTAATGACCGGTCTCCTGGTGGCCCCACATTAAGGAATACTCCTGGACCCCAGTAGCCACTAGCGTCAATATTACCCAGGATTAGTCTGTCTCTCCCTAATTGGAAAACCCTCCACAAATATTCACACTCCGTTTCCCCGGGGTGCCTAGCGAATTTTTGTTGGAGCTCCCCCAATTCTGGGCCTGTATATGGGGCCCAGAAGTAGTCTAGACGGTCACCCTCGGGTTCCTTCTCTGGGGCCCCTCCGATTTTTCAGTTTTTATTAAAGATTTTACTGCTACTGCCAGTGGTTCTGCTTCATCCAGCAATGAATAATCTTCCTCATCCACTGAGCCAGCCAAAATATCCCCAACCCAGTCGTCTGGGTCCACGGCGTTAACCAATTTCTTTATATGTACGGCACCTATGGTTGATGCAGCACGTGCTGCAACGGTGTCTATATGTCGTTCCAGGAGTTTGTTATGCCGCTCACTTTCTTCTAATTTCTTATGCAGGCTCTGGGCCTCCAGCTCTCTCCACCGGAGATGTTCTTCTGCCTTTTCTCTTTTATATTTTTCCCTAATTCTTCTCCTAATTATTCAATTTCACTCTTTTGCCCCAAATCTCCTGCCATTAAATTTTATTTTCTAGTTTCAGGTTTTCCACCTCTAATTTGACATAGTGGTTCTCACTCCCCAACAGCAGCTGTGTATGCTCGCTAGCTTCATGGGTGTCCTGTGCACATGACAAGCATGCTCCTAGGACAGCACAAATGGCCACTTTTCCCTTGCCCAGCTTATAGCCAGCCCTGCATTCAGATACGATTCACTACTGCCATTTCATTCTGCAAGTGTTCAGCAGCCCACTGCTCCCCCTTTACAGAAGGTCCACAGCCATTTGCCACCAGCAAATCCTTCAGCGACACCCTGCTCGCTGTGCCACTTGTCACAGCGGAGGGGTGGTGCCTGAAGAGAAACCGAGCCATGGTGTCTTTAACTCTTTTATTAAACTAACCCCTGCCCACCTCTCAGGTTCTTTGGGTGTCTTTGGAGCAGGGTTTGCTGATGGTAAACATTCACAATATAGTAACAAACAATCAACAAATAATAACTAGCAACTATCAATGAAAATATTCAATAGTGATTAACAGTATGGAGGATCAGTCGTAACAATACACATTAACGCATCTATCTTCTAGTCACAACAACACAGGACGCCAAACTATGTACATAAGGCAAGTAAGTAAGTAGGTGCACAAAGAACAAATCACCAAATAGGCAATTGCTATCTGAGCCTCTACGGAGCAAGAACTCTTATGAAATACGACAGGCCTTTCAAATGACCAACACGTGGGGGGAGAAGGAGAGGAGAAGGAGAGGAGAAAGGCAAATCTCCCAGTTCCCTCCAAGCCCTCCTTTACCCGGATTATGGGTGGGGTGGCAATCCACTCGCTCGCCGTAACAGCGGGTTGCACCGGTTAGATGCTGCCGGACGCCACCACAGCTCTGGATCGGCGTCCCGACCCAGAGGGGAGCGTAGGCCGCCTCCGCAGACCAGCTGCTTCGAGTCAGGTGGATCTTCTCCCGCTGACACACAGCGCTCCAAAGTCTCCTCCGCTGTGCTGCTTTATATAGCCTGTTTGGGGTGGGGTGTGGTCATACACCTTACTTGGTGGTAGTTTGGAGCATGCTCGAAGGTGATGGCGAAGTCTCCAACGTTCCCCGGGGTTGACAGGTACCTGGCTCCTTCCTCTGGTGGGTCCTAAGGTCTTCAGCTCTGCCACTCAGGACCCTGTTGCTGGGGTGCCAAGTTGAGGGGGAAACTGCGAGCAGGCAGATTTCGGTCGATGGGGTCAATTACAGACAGGGCAGAGAGACACGAGGTCTACCCATTATTCCCAGTGGGGGGGGTTACCACCACAGGCACCCTTGATCCTCAGCTAAGAGTCACCAAAAGGAAGGGAAGCAGGAAGCCAGGGGGAAATAGAGTTTTCAACAACAACAAATATATTTTAGCAAAAGAAACCCCTCAGCCCCCCCCCCCCCCCCCCCACACACATGACCCACCTCCTTGCAGCAGCAGCAGCACCCTTGTTTCAGAGACAGGGTCCCAAAGGGCCTGTGTGAATGGACAGATGTGATCAGAGATCTGGCCCGGGGACACAGGGGAACCTATGTGCTAATCCCTTGAGGAACAAAGGCAGATTTCTCAGTTTGGAGGTTACATACTCCAAGATGTGTAAATAGGAAGAGGGTATGAAATAATTTAGATACATATTTTAATGGGAGAAATGTAATTTAAACATAGTCAAATATGAACAGTAGTAGATCTAATATGTATATACCAAACGTGAAGCC